ATTGATTCTCTTACTATATACTTCTCTTTTACTTACATCCAGTATTTATAGTAGAGTGAAGTCGGTAATACAATGCTTCAAAATGAAGTTTCATAATAAGATAAGATGATAACTATCAATATGGATAATCATCATTTGATATTATCTATACCTTTTATAATATTAAGGAATTTTTTGCATGATTATATATATATTAATGTAATTAGTTTTAGAATTTAAGAAATAAGAAAATAAAATGGTATGCGGTTGAACCACTCGGTACACCCCTTTATTCGGGGTGAGGGATTTGTAGCGGATGATCCACTAATTTCTTTGCTTATTTCGACCACATGCAGTACATTCATCTTTTACTATTTAAACACACAAATTTTCAATTATGTGTGAATGACAAATTAATAGCGGATGATACTTTGTGCAGATGATCCACTTTTTTATCTGCTTCCCATTCACAGCCTTGGTTTCTTGATTTATCAGTTAATATACTACATATTTGTTGTATCTAAAGCAGATTGCAGACTTTTCTTTGTCGTATACTATAGAATGATTATATCAATATTTGGTAACACATTCGAAGCAGAATGTAATCATATCTATTCAGCATTTTTGGCCTAAAAGAAAAAAAGATTGGTATTTATTTCTTTTAGAGGATTTGCTTATCTGATTTATGGGTCAAATTTATATATCGTTTGCCAAAATGTTATTTTTAGATAACTTTGGGTTTATTAAATTTGGAACCGATTTTATCGAATATTAAAGGGTTTGAGATTTTTTGTAGTATATATATGGGTTAATTTACTTACTAGCCCAAAAAATTAATAATTAGTAAACTAACCAAAATTAGCCTATTTAGCATTGTTATGTCCAATAGATTTAGGTCAAATTAGTTAAGTTTTTAATTACAGGTTTTTTTAAGTTATTCAACCTAATTTTCCTATATATATTGAATAATATAGTTAAATTTAGGGTTTGAAAATTTTAAGCCTTTTACTTAATAAAAATTAAGACAATATTCAAAAAAAGTTACCGTATTTTTAATCCAACAAAAACACCACACTATTCAAATTTTTCATTTGAACCAAGCAAAATCATAGTAAGGAGAATCAAATTTTTGGTTCAAAACAATATTGGTTAAATGAAATTTCTTGTATTTTTCATTTGAAACAAGAATTTATCCAACAAAAAACACCACGATATTGAAAACCCTTATCGAATTATAAATTAAATCTCATATAATGTGATGAGAGTTTGCTGAACATTTGAAATAAGATCCCTTAGGCATGTAAAGAAATTAAATGTTAAATGTTTCAATTTATTTTTTTTTTTTTTGCAAAACTTATATTTCACTTTTATGTATTGGAGGTAACTTGAGGAGCAAGATATGTATCGTACGAACAATATACTTTGGAGTCATCAAAGCCCAATAGTGAAGTGAAGCTCGAAAGAAAA